GTGATGTTATGGACAGGTTTTGAATAACAAGCTTAAAAGAGAAGGAAACTTGCAGTGGCAGACCTTCTAGAGAATGCCCATCTCTATTTTGTCTCCTCTGTGGAGTCATGCTAGTTATCAGTAAGGAAAGTTTTGTGGTTAAAGCATAGGCTTAAGAATTGCTACATCCAGCTCTGCTAGGGAATTGCAAATGTCACCTCCATAAATTGGCCACCATGCCAGATATGTCACATCTTTTTCTTGGCTTAGGTTTAGCTATATAGTGTGAGGGTGATTTTATGTAGAAGAACCTGTGTGAGCATTGGTTGCATGATCATGTGGTGAATTGTCACCTGAAAGAGGGGATCACAGAATCACAGAATGGCCAGGGTTGGAAGGGACCTCAAGGATCACGAATCTCCAACCCCCCTGCCACATGCAGGGCCACTAACCTCCTCATTTAATGCTAGACCAGGCTGCCCAGGGCCCCATCCAATCTGGCCTTGAACACTTCAGGGACGGGGCATCCACAGCCTCTCTGGGCAGCTGTTCCAGTACCTCACTACTCTCTCTGTAAAATTAGCTTGGCGCGTCACAAATCATGTCCTATGTTTTTATTTTCTCTCTCTCTGTAGGATAATGAGGAGACATCTGACTTTGCTGTGGATGGTCTTAAACAAGTTATGGCTGTCAAGAGCCGTGTGGTTCTGCCTTATTTGGTGCCAAAGGTACAACTGGAAACAAATTTTAAACTTTTTTTTTTTTTTAAGTTGTGCTTTTTCCTGTGTTTGCTGCCAGTTTTCTTTGGAAAAATATTTGCCAAAATATTTCTGTGCTCAAAACTGTGTCATTGTGGTGCACTCATACTTTAAAATGTTCATGTTATAAATGACCTGAGATTCCTCCTAAAGAAATTTTCTGCTTGTCTCATTTTTATTTTTGTTTGTTTTTGCTTTTTAGCTGACTACTCCCCCTGTGAACACCCGTGTGCTAGCTTTCCTCTCATCAGTAGCAGGAGATGCTCTGACAAGGCACTTGAGTGTCATCCTGCCTGCTATGATGTCTGCACTGAAAGAGAAGCTGGGGACCAGTGAAGAGCAACTGGCAAGTAGCATGGCTCAACTCTCTGCTATGACAGGCTGCCTGAAGATAGTCTGGGTTTACCTCTCAGCACTGAGTCTGTATTCCCTAGATATACAGGCTGTGTGTTTTAATTCTGTCCCTTAACTTCTTCAGGCAGAGTCTTCTTGCCTGGTGGCATGTTGAGAGTTGAAAAACATATGCTTTCCAAATCCATTTGTATCCTTAAAGAAGTCTCTTAGGCCTAAACAAGATACAATTCTCAGTTTACTTATTCTTTGGAAACTGTCAGAGTGTCTGGTTAAGTTTGTATGCATTAGTGGGAAATAAGACTAACAGATTAAAGGGCTGAAAGGAGAATATCTCCTATTTTGCATGCAGTGCTCCTTCTGAACTACTTTCAGAAACATCTGTTGTTTGGACTCCAGAGAACATCCTGGAGCTGTGATTGCATATAGATGTACACAGGCTGGTGAATTGAGAGTGCTGTGGATAGAATCTTGTCTGCTACAGATGCCTATCTGCTCAGCTTCTAATATACCTACAGCTGTACTTGCTATTAGTTTTATGACACAAAGACTTGAACTGCCTAAATTAAAAAAAAAAAAACCTTACCTGATAAGACCCATGGTCTCTGAGGGTGAGTAAGACTGGGCAGACTGAGCTACTCTCATTTTTGGAATTTAGCCCTTCTGTAGCTGTACAGCTACCTGTGCAACTTTTCAGATCGTTTGTTGAATTTTGGGAGTTGACTATGTACTTATCTCTCCTCCATTCATAACATTTTTTGTTTTGTTTTTTTTTTCTCCCTAACATTTGTTACTAAGTAAGCATAGGGATGGAGGTAGCAGTAGGAAATTGGTTCTGAATTAAACCTTTGATGGCAATACAACCAGCTATTCCAAAAGAAAAGATTAGCAGGTGGTATATGTTGTGTGTTTTATCTTTTCTCTTAGAGATGATGTTCTGGATAACATGGGGAAACCTGGGGCTAACTCTGGTTTTATTCTATTTGAGAGTTAATGTAAAATAAATTTGGACTCCTTAGGAAATGGCAAATTGCCAGTCTGTAATCCTTTCTGTGGAAGATGACGTTGGACAAAGAATTATAACTGAAGATTTACTAGAAGCTACCCGCAGCCCTGACCTGGGAATGAGACAAGCAGCAGCTATCATACTGAATATCTACTGCTCCAAGACAAAAGCAGACTATACTGGTCATCTCAAGAACTTGGTTTCAGGCTTGATACGTTTATTTAATGATACCAATCCTGTAGTTTTGAATGAAAGTTGGGATGCACTTAATTCCATCACCAAGGTAAGAGGCAGCTTCAAAAGTTCATAGTGGTAGTGGTTGGCAAGGAGAAAGTGGAGATAACTGGTAAAATACTGTCTAAATTGAATCTCCTATTTAAACTACGTTTATGTTGGCAAATGCTGCAAAGGTTTGAGATGTAAGATGAGCTTGGCAGCAGCATTGTCAGTGAACAGTTAGGTCTTTGGAAGGGGTGGGAAACAAGTGTCTTCTCATGATGCACCTGAGAATTCAGAAGGAACTGTCAATTGTGATATTACTTCATCTTTGTCTTGCCCCTCTCTCCTACAGAAGTTAGATGCTGGGAACCAGCTTGCTCTCATTGAGGACCTACACAAGGACATCCGGATTGTAGGGAACGAGGCCAAAGGCGAGCATGTGCCAGGATTTTGTATTCCTAAGAAGGTAGAGGATCAAAATGAGCATGTGATGCAAAAATGGACTCGATCACAACCATCCTATGTCATTCTTGGGGGAAGCTGATTGATACTGTGTTATGGTATTAGAAATTCTGAAACTGTAGCATTTTAAACCCCTATGTTAGAGACTTTTTGTAGGTTACTGGTGCTTTTGAATTACCCTGCAGACAGCTCCTTTTGTGACAAGATCTTTGACAATTCTATTATGCCTGGAAATCCCACTTGCTGCTTTTGTGGAGGAGTAATGTTGGACTTCTGTGCCAAATTTCTATGGTTTAAAAATTCCCTCATCCACCAGCACTTTCCTCATAGCAACTGGCTTTCTAAGGCATAGATGCATTAAATCAAATTGAATAAAAGTAGCTTTGTAAATTTGGAAGCAGGCAGCTGAAGGTCAACAGGAAATTGAGAGAAACTGTTTAAGTCTGTTCAGCTGGTATATAACAGGAGCAAAAATAAGATATGTATTTTTTGCATTTTAGCTTCTAAGCTTTCTTATCTAATTGTTATGACAGGGAGTGACTTCTATACTTCTGGTGCTGCGTGAAGGTGTTCTAACTGGTAATCCAGAGCAAAAGGAGGAAGCAGCAAAGGCCTTGGGGCTGGTTATTAAACTGACTTCTGCAGAAGCTCTTAAACCATCTGTAGTGAGCATTACTGGACCACTTATTCGTATCTTGGGAGATCGGTTCAGCTGGAATGTCAAAGTGGCTCTGCTTGAAACATTAAGCCTTCTTTTAGCCAAGGTAAGATTGAAAATAACTGATTGTAGTTTGTGAGCATTTTCTACAGTAGCCTTCAGAAAATCTGTTGCTGTTCATTTTAATATAGCTAGGATATCAACTGGTGTAGATCTAATATCTAGAATGGCAGTGAAATTGGATTGTATTCTCCCAACAACTGAGTCACTGGACCTCTCAGAAATACTGCTAAATGCTCATCTCTTTCACATGATTGACAACTACCAGGTAGATAATTTCTTTTCTGCGTCCATGCTTTTTTGAAATTTTGAGTCCAAAGATGATCATCTTACACATTTGAACTGAGCTAGGCTTTTATTTAGTGCTTTGTATAGAAAAGAACATCCATGACGATGTAGAATCTTTCTTGTGTTTCCATCTGCAGAAAACAGAATTAAATTAGAAAAAGATAAATGTTTTGTTGTAAAAAACACAAACATTTTGTGTTTTTCCTGTTTTAGTAGTGTGTTAGATCTGAGTAAAGGCTATTTGTTACTGTGATAATTAACTGTTGTACAAGTCAGGCTGTTTACAGGCTTTGATTTCTAGCCATGGTTACATTCTCAACTCCATCACTTTTCCTTCTTTTATCTCTGTTAAAGGTTGAGATTGCCCTGAAACCATTTTTGCCTCAATTGCAAACAACCTTCACCAAAGCTCTGCAAGATTCAAACCGTGCTGTTCGCCTTAAAGCTGCTGATGCTCTTGGTAAACTTATTGTTATCCATGTAAAAGTGGATCCTCTTTTTACTGAGCTACTGAATGGAATTCGTTCCAGTGATGACTCTGCCATCAGGTAAGCTGTAGGTGGAAATCTCAGACCTTGCTGCTTATTAAGAATAAGGGGCTAGGATTAATATGCTATACAGCAATTTGAGATAATTTTCTTCCCTCCCCCCCCCCCTTGTTTAGATAGTAAGATTTATTTACTGTTAATGAAGGGTTGTAAAACCAGTAATGTGGGTGATAGGGACATAGTGGGTCAAAAGCTGCACTCTGATGCATCTTATCAGGAGAGATGTTGCTTGGCATATGCCCAGTTCTTCTTCTTCAGTCTCTAAACCCACTGCAACCCACTTTCAGGTACAAAACTGTATCAATTTTCACTTCGACCTGAAGTAATGCAGCTGTTCTTGTACCCTATACGTACAGATTCCTGAGAAATTAATTTCTTGGGTTTTTTGTTGTTGTTGTTGTTTTTATTTTAATCTTTGAATAGTCAGAAGATACTTACTTTGTAAGAGAGAGACACAAGTATGCAAACATGGAATGAACTCTAGCATGGAGTCTCATCAGTGGAGAGAGTCTGGGTTTCCTAAATTGTCAGGCATATTAATCTAATAGCTGTGTAAGAAATTCTTACAAGTGTCCAGACCTCAGTTTCTTCTTTAGGGTGATGACTGTATGTTGTGATCACTTCTAGGGACACGATGCTGCAAGCGCTGCGGTTTGTAACACGAGGAGCTGGTGCAAAAGTAGATGCCACAATTAGGAAGAACATCAGCACGGTGCTTCTTGGGATGCTGGGACATGATGAGGTATTGCTTCAGACAGCTGTAAAGGATCCGTGCTGTAGTTAGTCTGATTTCTAAATTTAAAATCAGAACTAAGAAAATTATTTTCTAGAGTAATCTTCCAGGGCAAATTATTGCTGTTAGAGTGGAAAGAAACTGTTACAAAGAAACGCTGCAGTTGGACATCACTCAGTAAACTGAATGTGGTCTGTAAAACTGATTTCACTGGAGCTTTATGGTGTTAACTGAACTGGAGATCCCCAGCCAATTACTTTTAACTCAAAGTCTGTGAGTTTAATGTTTCCTTAGCAACCACACAGGTGGATTTGCAGTTCCTCTCCAGCATGCGTGAGACAGCTCTGAAGTCAGAATATGTTTTTTTTAATCTCAGAGAGAACCCACAGTACCTTCTCTATAAGCACATCTGTGTGTTTGCAGGCTCTCAGGTGGGGTTTATCATTAGGTGTGAGGAATTTTTTTTTGTAACAGATTTTTCTCCAGTAAACAAGAAACTCTCCTAAGTTGAATGTGTGATCTTCTGTATATGGCAGATAGCAACAGTCTCATCTGTAAGATTAAATAATCAGGTAATGTCTTTATGTTTCAGTATGTGCATACAGACATACAGCTGTTGGCACGATAGAAATAGAACAATTGAAAAATTCCCATTGGATTTTAAGTTTTAGGGTAGAGAAGTGCAGATATATATAGTTCAGAACCATGCCAAACAAGCAGGAGTATGGAAGTTTTAAAATTAAAATCTTATCACAGCAATAAGCTTATGCAGAGGTGGCTAGAAGTAATATTTGTTTTCTAGACTGTGAGTCAAAATGTAACTCTTAACATAGCTTTTAAAATACTCACTTTTGTCTTTATAACTTTTCTATTTAACAAGTCACAGTTTATTTGAGACCTGTAATTTTACAATCTGCTGGCTTTTTTTGACTGGATGTGAGGCTTCCAGTATGTACAACAAACTGTACAAAATGACAGAAATCCACAGTTAGCAGGAGGCAAAGAGTTTCTGCGAATACTTTATTTTTTCCCCTCCTCTTTTTATTTTTGTCCCTTGCTTCTCTTACTGCTTGTCTCTGATGTGGATTGAGCTCAACCAGTGTTGCTCTTTCCTTCCTTTCCTCATTAGGATGCCACCCGCATGGCTTCAGCTGGCTGCTTAGCAGAGCTGTGTGCATTTCTGTCAGAAGAGGAGCTCAATACTGTTCTCCACCAGCACTTACTGGGTAGGTGAAGCTACTCTGACTAGAACTAAGTCTGAAAAGCAGGGGAAGATATGTTCTTAGCCAGTGGTTTGTGAAAACTGTAACTATTTAGGTCCCTTCTCTTTATATTAAACAAATCTCTAGATTTCCTTGTACTTTTCTTTGCTCATGGCTGCTCTTACACTCTGGTACATCATCGAGCACAAGTTGACAATTAAAACTTGGGTTTCCCATATTTTTTGTGGATTTGTGTTCAAGTGAGTTTGATGCAAAGTACCAGCATGGCTGAGCAGTTCCTTAGTGCTGATGCACAGTGAATGGGAGATGACAGTACATTCAGGCAGCATCGGGGAGAGCTGTTCCACTTTATTTGATGACACTGGGATCACAGATTGGCTTATGACTATTGCAGACCACATCCAACAGCTTCAGATACTTTTGGAGAATTAACTGATTTGCCTGTTAGTTAGTCAGAAACATGGATTTTGTAGGAACTTGTAGTGGTTGGGAGTGTTATAGTGCTCTATGGAATTAAAAAGGGAATCTACTAGCTGGTTTCAAATTACAGATCACTTTTACAATTTTATTGGTGTCAAAGCTTATGTAATTGTAATAGCAAGCTTCTTCATGTGCTGAGTGATGTGGGTGTGATTACATGTATCATCAGAAAAACCCACTTTAATGGTGTAAGGTCAGTGTGTTGGGTTTCAATATCTGCCCAGAGAGAATTCCTCTCTGATAGAGGTATTGTGTTATTGTACAGTTTATATGTCTCTTTTGGAAGGAGAAAAATGCTGCTTTAAGTGCTGCTTTTATAGAAGCAAGTTGACAAACTGACAAATGCTTTCTCAGCTGGATACAGTGGCCTTTCTTAGAGGTAGTTCTTTTTGCCATTTTAGCAGACATCTCTGGAATTGACTGGATGGTGAGACATGGACGAAGCCTGGCCCTCTCAGTGGCTGTAAATGTTGCTCCTTATAGGCTATGTTCCCCCAAGTACTATAACAGTGTTCTGGAGATGATCCTCAGCAATGCCACTGCTGACAGGGTGAGTGCTGCCTGAGAAAGGGCAAGTTCTATTCAGGTACTTGTGGGAGTAGTTATAAAAGGCTCACAGGTTCACAGTGTTACAAAAACTTAAAATAAAAAATAAAATCAGAATAAAAGTGTATTCTGAATGTTCTTCCTTGACTAGATGCAGTTTTATAGTGAAACTGCATGATTGTGATTCTGATTCTTTTACTGCTGATCTCTGTCAAGATGAAGATAATTTAATCCTTAACGGTAGAGTAACTTTCAGTGGGAATAAATTCTACTTCTGTTGCCCTATTAAAGTTCTCATTCACAGGCCAGGTTTACAAAATGAACAAATACTTCAATTTAGAAGAAAGACTTTGAAAACAGTTGAATGAATAACATAGCGTAGGGAACTCGTGGGTTATGTGGGGCCTGTCACGTTGTTCTGTGTGGTCACAGCCATGATTTTTTATCCTCTTTGTCCAATAACATTACATCGTTTTCATGCATTGCAGTTCTTTGACAGATATGTTGAGCCTTTTTGCAAAAGCTCACCAGGCCATGTGACTGTGAGGCTAATTATATAAAGACTGTTGAACTCTACTGTAATAACATCAATCATATCAAATTTTTGTTTTTACATTGAAGATACCCATTGCAGTTAGTGGCATCAGAGGGATGGGCTTTCTTATGAAATACCACATGGAAGAAGGAGGGAACCTGCCTCCAAAACTTTCCAACCTCTTTATTAAGGTAAGAATTTTTATGTTACCTGGTGTTGTTCTCATCTGATCTTAACCAGTGTAATACAGTCTTGCTTTCAGCTGATTTAGAGAGGTTTTCTTTGTAAAATTAATGTAACCCAGCACAAAAGCTGAAACTTCAGTTGCCTTATTTTAGGAAGCTGTAAATCCTTTGATAGTTGGAAATCTATACAAGTCTTTTTTGTTCTAAAGCAGACAATAATTTTACAAGCCTGCTTTGCAGCTGTGAACACAATACCTCCATCTCTGTTGTAATGTGGAAATTTGACTGGCTCTGTGGTAAACTTTGATTCAGTGTGAATAATTGTTTTCCTTTGCAGTAGCAAGCAGCTGATGGGAAGAAAAGCATGGAGGGGGGCAGATGTCAGTTTGCTTTTAAAATCTGATAAAGCTCAAAGGGGCTCTGTTAGAAAGTTGTTGAATACCAACTCCTTACCTTCTCTGGCTTTGCATCAGTACTTTCTGACTTCTATTTTTTTTTGAATGGGAGTAGCTCCTAGAGCCTGGATGGAAAGAATATTGACGTTAGTGCTCTTTCCTTTTCAAATGATACCTATTTGAAAATCTACCTAAAAGCTCCTTTCTTTCTTCTATTGTTCTGTATTTTTTTCCCCCATGAAAATATCCCTCAGGGCAGGAAGAATCTGAATTTTGATCACGAGAGTGTTTTCATGTCTTAGGAAAGATAAAGGAAGACAGAGTTGAGGGGTAGTGGTAGAGCGAGTGAGCTGCTGCCTTTTAATTTATCTGTCATTCTTATTGTAAATAAAAATGTATTACATTTCACATTTTAAATGTCTTCTAAATTTACTTGAAAATCCATCATAAATGCAAGTCAACATGGTGTCTGTTGTTTTTCAAAGTAGACTTCTTGCTGAAATATATTTCTTTGCATCGTAGCATTCCGTTTAAATATAAAATGAATATCAGAGTTGTCACAATACCTTTATCCCTAAATTTTTTTATATTAAAATGAAATACATTGTTGAAACATAGCTTACACTCTAACCAGTGACTTGGTTGTTGCTGCTGACTGGGTGTGTTTTACCATAGGTACTGTCATCTTTTGCTCCAGTTAGATGTCCCTGTCATTTCCTGATAGTGTGTACCTCTGTCACCAAACATTTTTGTTTTCTTTTGAAAAAGTGTCTTGTTTTCAAGGTTTCATCCACTCTTACTGTTATACATAAGTTTAATCACATTTGTTGATGACATTTCACTCCGTGAATTGAAGACTACTTGTTTTTGCTGTCGTAGTTAAAGATACTTAAATTAGGAAAACAAGGTAAACTTGTGCTTTCAATACCTTGTCCTTGGTATATCTAAGCTTAAAACCATCTTTGTCTTCTTCAGTGTCTCCAGAACTCATCCAGTGACATAAAGTTAGTTGCAGAAAAAATGATCTGGTGGGCAAATAAAAACCATCTTCCTGCACTGGATCCTCAGACAATTAAACCCATTCTCAAAGCACTTCTGGACAACACAAAAGACAAAAACACCAGTGTCAGAGCTTACAGCGACCAAGCCATTGTTAATCTGCTGAAGATGAGAGCGGGTGAACAAGTGCTTGAGGTATGAGACAGAAGAAAATATAACCATTGATAGTGGGCTATGTCACGTGGCTCTGCTTATGTTTAAGTGTTTGCCTGGAGTCTCAGAACATGCTGGCAGTCTCTTGTGAAATAGGTGAAGTGGGATATTCCTATTTGCATTTAAGCCTTCATTAGTATTCTTATGGTAAGCTGTGAAGAAGTATGCAAGTTATGTGATACTGCACAACCATACAGTGGGGTATTATTGAAGTCAAGGTATTTAATGTGTTCTCTGTGTTTAATGCCTGAAGCCATATTGTGCTGTAGTTGCCTTAGCTAGGACTGCTAGTTTATTGCTTTTGTCACTTTTATAATCCTATTGCAGCATTATCAGTACTGGAGAGAATATTTAGGATGGATAGAATGCTCCTTTGTACATCCATATCCAGACCTCTCTTCTAAGCCCCTAGCTAGTTTGGTTCTCATGTCTGGAATCCTAAAAACAGATGAAGGCTTTGGGTATATTTGAAGATGCAGATAAATACACCATGTAAAGCTCTTAAACTTGTTCTTACTTTGAACGGCGTCTCCTAAGGAATCAATAATTCGGTCTTTTCTTCCTTCCACAGTCTGTTTCCAAGATTTTAGATGCTGCCAGCTTGGAGCTTCTCAATGAAAGCTGCAGGAGATCTCTTAAGAAGCTGGCTGGCCAGGCTGACTCTGAAGAACAGATAGATGACACTATACTGACGTGATAATCGAGCTCCCGAAGACAAAACAACACTGACCCAACCGCTGCATCAGCATTTCAACTCAAAACACCTACTTTAAATGTTTTCATTTTTGAAAATGTTAATTCTGATGGGATTTCATGAAAAGGACTCCCAGAGAGTATTTTAGTATCAAATATACCAGAATAGCCTTAATTAGACCCACTTTAGCTGAAATTTGAAAATTTGGTCCCCTTTTTGAAATAGTTAATGCACAAGAAACAGATATACTAATCTATACTGATAAATTGTGGCCAATTGTGAGATGTGGCTAGAGCACATCAGGCTTAAACTCTGGTGAAATCTACTTGTTTTCCAGGGTCTGTGCCAAAACCCCAGTATTGGAAGTACTGTTGTTTTTTTCCAGAGACCCTGTGAAGCCAGAATTGTTTTTGTGTACTGCTAACTTGCTGCTTGTGACGGTTCTGAAGACTGAAAATCCCTGTAAAACACAGTATTTAAAACAGCCTTAGAAATCACAAATACAAGGGGGGAATTAAATGCAGTCTGTTTAAAGAAGGAACATTTAATAAAGGCTTTGACTTTGATCCTTCTGGTGTAAACTGTTCTCTTTATGCATTCATTTGCCAACAAACGAATTCTGTGATTTACTTTCTGGATATGCATCTATTTTTTTTAGAGCATACAGCCTATAGAGTGGGTAGTGCAGTAATCTGTATAAACCCTTTTGCAAAACTGAGGTAAGCTAGGGTTTAAAACCAAGCTAGAACTGACATTTAATGAAATTTGTAATTACTCCTGTTCATTTCTGGAGCATTTTGGACTATAGACAGCTTTTTATTCAACTTGTGAAAACTCCTCTATTTTTGTCTTCAAAGGCTTCAGAAGATATTTGGCATTTCCAACATGCAGAGTTTTTTTTGTCAATGAATTGTACTGCTCCAAGAAAGCAGGATTTTAGTTCACCTGGCCAAATAGTCACTTTTTTTTTTTTTTAATTGACTGATGCCTTTTGTGCTATTTGATGGAAATAGTGGAAAAAATTGCGTGGCAGAATAAAAACCTTTGAAGAGAAAATTAGTTTTGCATTCTACATATAAAAGTGAGCCCTATCTGTGTGATGAAACTACACAGAAGAAGGTTGCTCTTCAAAAACCAAAGCATTACAGTTTACAGTTTCAAAGGGGGGGTGATGATCTTCCTTTGATAAAACTCTGGATGGCTCAAACATAATAGTGGGAGGAAAAAAATGCTCCTAATCACAACATTTGAGAGCATAAAATGCAACTAATACTAGAACTAATTTGCCAATTGCTGTGATTCCATAACCCTTTTATGCCATCCATTTAATTATATATACTTTTCAGAGTGTTACACTTCAGTGGCTATCAAAACCTTCCTTGCTGCTATTTGAGTCCATTACTGTTTGTTCTGTTCCCACAGGCATTGAGAACAGTTTGTTTGCAGCAGCCACGTTATCCCTGCAGTGTTCTCATCCTTGAAGATGAGATCCATCCTTGGATTTTCCAGGTCTTTTCTTGTGGATGAGCTTTTCTAAATCTATGTTGTTGCTCTTCATGTTTGTTCCATTCAGATTCACTGTTGCCTTGTAGTGCCCACTGCTGGATCAAATCTTCTGCTGGAGAATATCACTTTTTAGGTTCTACACAAACATGCTGCTATCTATCCCCACAAGAGACTTGGCTGCAGTAGCAGATGTTTTGCAGTCAGTTATGAATCCAGGCTACAAATCTGCTCTTTTGCTATTTACGTCCAATCTTGTAGTTATGCAGTTCATTATTTCTATAAAACTCCACCACTTTCCAGTTGGTCTTATTGAACCTGTCATCACTGATTTAATAATGTTTACCTGCATTTTGAAGGTGGTTTTAAATTCTGAGTAGGCCTTCCAGAATATTTGCAAATCTGTTCTGTTTTCTGTTATCTACTGATTAAAAACGTATTCCCTATCTCTTCATCCAGATAATTAATTAAAGTAATAAGCTGTACCAGTCATAATTCACTGTGGAAAGCTACTTGTCTGTATTGACAGTGAGCTATGAGTAACTACACTGAGAAGAAAACTTGCTGGTGGATATCCCTCGAAGCAGTGAATTCAGGCTGTGTTATTGCCTATGAGACTAATGTGTAATCTAAAGGCTGCTCCACTAAAACACAGTCTTGGGAAGCAAAAGTTTATCTGCCATATTCTTCTGCTGTCCTAAGTCTCAATTCTTGTCTACAAGAACTCAAGGATGAGTGGTAATCAACCAATTCATCTTTGTATTTTTTTATTCACTATCCTTTAAAGTTTAAACTCTGTTTTTGCATTGTGTTGGTAATAATCAGAGTGAAAACTAAAAATGCCCTTAAGGATTTGATGTCTTAGAACACTGTGATTAATTTCACCTGTAATGAATGAACTGTGTTTGGAGAATAACAGAGGAACAGCAGTTAAGCCACCAAATGCAAAAACACTGCACTATAGCAGAAGTAAACAAAACTTGAAGTCATTTTATAACTGCAAAAATAGGTGAGAAAAGCTCAGTATTTGTACTTAATAACTTCTTTGATCACTATGGACATGAAGGAGGAAAAATGTGCAAGTTTTTCTAAAGAATGGCAGGTTGAGCACAGTCAGAGATAGCTACTTTTCTCCAGAATACTGATACTTCTTAAACATGTGGAAGAAAATAACAGTCAAGTAGAAGGTTTTTAAATTAGCTTATTAATTTTAGCCAATTACTACCTTTTGTAATTGAATTAAGGGTATTCTGAAGATTTGTATTTTAACTTTGTCTGACGTGAAGTGGAAAAACTCATTCATCTTTCCAAATAGCAGCTGAATTTCTCAGCACTCAGTTTAGTTGTTCCCGACAGGGAGGAGTAAAAGGTAGGAAACTTACTTGCAGTTATTGAGAATGTGCTGATTATTCAATTACAGCACAACACAGAATCTGGAATTTGATAGCTACCTCTCACTAAATTATTTATATACTGCAATACAATACATCAGAGCTAAAATACCCATAATTTTTGCCACAACGTGAAAGATGATAAATTGATTGTGCCAACTTAGAGTCTAAGGAATTAATTTTTCTCTCATTTCAAACATCTTGAAAATACTAGTTGTCAGTCTAAGACCATTTTTTTCCCACAACTGACTGTAATAACATCTTTGAACTGTCAAGACGCTGTCTCTGAGTGACAGCTGAACTGTGTGTATTTCAAGAAGATCACAAAACAAAGTGCGATGTTTTATCTTACAAGGTGTTTAAAAAATTCAGTGGAAAAGAGACAAATGTGAAAACACAAAATATTCAAATATTTTGATATTTTTTAAAGGTAAGTCACCCCGTTGCATACAGTCTTTTTTATTTGGCACGATGACCCCATCTTACGCTTTCTACATGGGCTTTCATAAACTTAAAAATAAGGGTAATAGGAGATGCTGACTTGAGGTTTGAGTTGGTGGTTTGTATGATAGATTCAAGGGGCCTCCCCTTGGTTATCCTGACATGGGAGATGTGCGTTGGGTTATTTGATGGACTGCCAAAATGCTGTATTGTGATGTAAGAGACAGGAGATGTTGCCTTTGAGCTGGATTGGGCTTGGGTTGGCTGCAAACCCTTCTCCAATAGTAATTCTGTGAGTATCGATCTGCAGAACTGCACATGTTTATGTCTGGTAGCACTCCAGCCTGGGTGTGGTGTTTTACATGTATGAACTGCAAAGTCCATGGCATAGGAATGAGAGATGGAGGACATCCAAATGGATTTCAGGATGAGGAGGAAGTGACAGGGCTGAGCTCTGAAGGCCAGAAGATTTTTTTGAAGGTTAAGATCCAGGAATGTTTATAACTAAAAGCATAGTTGCATTTTCAATCAGAAATATTCTGTTAGACGATGCTAAAATTATCTTCACCCTAGAGATGCTATTTTAGCCATACTGGGTTGGCTTGTTTTCAGATGAGTTGCACAGAAATAGCAAAAATGTAACAGCACAACCATACTAGAGTATCCTATGTAGAAGAAATAAGTAATTCTAGAATTGATTAGAGACAATTAACTTAAACATATTCTTATTTCTCCTAATCAAACCTTACTGCATAAACCCAGAGGAAAGAATCTGCAGCTTTTTAGTGAATATTAAGGAGAATGCAGCACCACCAGCAAACATCTGTCATTCTGTAAGGACCACTCACAGCTTAGCACATAGCTGGGGCTAGCAGCCATCTCAGAGGTCGACAAACCCATTGCCCTGCTCAAAGCAGCTGAATGGAGCAGGTTGGGACTTCTTGAACACCCTCACAATGTTCACGGGTGTGAACTGAAGCAGTGTTGTTTCACTGATTTCTATCACACATGCTTTGGTTCCACCAAAAGATCCTCACTGCAGGAGCATCCTAAGTGTCTTTGTAGCTCAGCTGATGGGAAAGTTTGCGTTCTTCAGAGCTGATACAGCTCTCATTTGGAGGACCAGTGGTGCCCAGAAATATGATTTAGCAGAGGGTTGTTAGGGTACTATGGTTTGGCTGCAGTTGGACTTGATGATCCTTGAGGTCCCTTCTAACCTGAGTAATTCTATGATTCTTCCCTCAGTGAACTGTAAAGCTGATGTTTCTAATGTTACCCATATTGTAATTAAATGAAGTCATTATTTTGGTTTGAACTTCTGCTCAACAAAATTTGGTGAAGTAATTATAAGTGACATGTGTTATCTTTTGTCACTTATTTTTGAGCTGCTGAGGATGAAAAATAACAAAGTCCTGAATAACTGAGGTATTCTAAACCAAAACACTGCTACGGAGTCCAGACACCAACACAAAGAAATGTTTTTGTAGCATAGAAACCACAGAGAAACCAGCACACCTCTTGCGCTCTTGACGACAGCCTCATGTGCTCCTATGGTCAGCACCAACATGAGCGACAGGGCAAAGATAACACCCCAAACATAAGCAGAACTCCGGATTAAACCCCTGGGAATCGAACCCTAGGTTCAAGACGCCAATAAGCCTGGTCTTTTCTTATCGCTCCTCTGCGGACTCCCCCACCTGCGAGGCTGGGCGCGCACTCCCCTCACAGATCCATCATGGCGGCCTGAGGCGAACAACCACCCCCCCACACCGCCCCACCCAGCTCAGGGATAGCGCGCATGCGCAGCGCAGCGCCGCGTTGGGCGGGCTGCGCGCACGCGCCGGAGGGAGGGGCGTTGCGCGTGCGCGGCGGCGTGCCGGCGCAGCTGGAGGCCTACGGCGGCGCGCAGACGCATGCGCGGTGGCGCCGCTGTCAGTTCCGGCTGTTTGTTCGGGAAGTGGATCCGGGCCCGCCGCCGTCCCCTCCCCCCTCCTCCCTCCCGCCGCGCTCCCGCCGCTCCCGGCCATGGCCCGGGATTACGATCACCTCTTCAAGCTGCTTATCATCGGTGATAGCGGTGAGGGCTCGCGGCTCGCCCCTCCCCGGCCTTTAGGCAGCGAGGGGCGGGGGCTGCGCGGGCGCGGCGGGGCCTGAGGGGGGCGGCGGGGCGTTGGGGGGGGCGTTGGGGCCGCGCCAGCCGTGCGGGGACCGCGGCGCCCCGCGGCGCCGTGCGGTGAGGATGCGGGATGCTGCGGGGAGCGGGCCGGCCGCGGCCGAGGGTGGGTGAACGTCGGCCGTGCCAGCATCGGTGTGTGGGGCGCGGGGGGGTCTGTGTCTGTCGGGGCCGTGTCTGATTTCCTCCTGACTAAAGGCGTCGGGGCTGCCGGCCCCGGCAGTGCTGCTTCCATTGCAGCAATCGCTGCTTTCTCTTCGTTATTAACTCTTGGTTATTAACCAAACCGTCCCACGGGACCGCCTGGAATCTCGGTTCTGGAGTTCGACACTTCTTTAAATCCTCGGTGAGCTCGAAGCCCTGGTATGTGCACAGGTAGCTGGGAGAGCTGCAGAGAAGGAGTCCTTACACGTTTTGGAAATAAACCATTGAATGCTTCTACTGCACTTTCAGAAACTTCTGGAGGGCTGGCGGCGAGCTCAGGTTGTGCCCAGTGCTTCGTGGGGCTGGGAGATCCCACCCCTCGGTCCCATTCAGTGCTGGTAACCCTCCAGCAGCTCACAGTTACATTTCCATAAACTGGAGGAGATGGCATCCACCCTCTTCTTTTAATAGAGGTGTGGTCCATAAGGCAGCAGGTCCCAGCATGCAGCGTTGCTCGCTCTTGGCAGCTGTCACCTCCAGAAGCTTTTGCTGTATGTAAAAATATTTTATTCTATGCTAAACTGTGTCTGCAAGAAGGAAAAGGCTGTTTTTAAGACAGGAATAGGAAGAAAGGCCTAGGACAATGGAAATGATTTTAAGTTGAGGGAGGGAAGATTTAGGTTGGATGTCAGGGGGAAGTTCTTTACAATGAGAATGGTGAGGTGCTGGAACAGCTGCCCAGAGAGGTTGTGGATGCCCCGTCCCTGGAGGTGTTCAAGGCCAGATTGGATGGGGCCCTGGGCAGCCTGGTCTGGTATTAAATGAGGAGGTTGGTGGCCCTGCATGTGGCAGGGGGGTTGGAGATTCATGATCCTTGAGGTCCCTTCCAACCCTGTCTATTCTGTGATTCTGTGAAAAGCTGAGAGCTTCAGAACAGCTTAAAGCCCTAGGCACTTCTGAGAGCTTGTGGATTATTAAAACCAAATGCTGCATTCTGAGTAAAGCAGTAACGCTGCTGCTTGCTGATGAGTTCCAAACTGTTCAGGCAAGATAAACAGGATAGTGAAAACTCTGAGGAAGGCTTCTTGTCTTGAACAATTAAATGCAGTGTCTTAGCTGAGTTGTACTGAGCAAAGTCCCTGCGCTGCATCCACAGAGGAAAAAAGTGTTGTGAGAATTGTCTGGCTGCATGAGGTTCTCTGTTGCTGTAATTAAATCTCACTGTGTAGTTTAGATATTGATTTTCCTTTTTTCTTTTCTTTTTTTTTTTTTTTTTGCTTACCACAACAGTAATGCTTTGTCCCTGCTTCCACACATTAGTCTGTTTGCCTTGTTTGTTGGTGTTCAGAAAGGCCTTGTAATAGGAAATGGACTGATACTGGGTGAATGATAATGTTTCATCCACTTTCCTCTGTAAGCAAATTTGTCAAGGGTAGTAGGTTTGTGTGTTTTTAGAACAGGTCATCTGGAGAAGCTGCTGTTAATCTCAGTTGTTCCAAATGTTTAAAAATAACACAGATGATCTGTGCTTTGCATGTGTTACTTCATAACTGCTCAGTAAGATACGGGTTTTAGAAACTGATAGGGCACAGAAATTGGCTTTTAATTTTGATTTCGCCAAGTCAGTAGGCCGTTCTTGTTTTGTTTCGTTTTACTGTCTCCAGCAAGCCAGGAGCCCTGTTATCCTTCTCTGTTCAGATCTTCAAATAACTCTGTGTAGGAAGCAGAGTATGAAGAAGAGTGTGGTTTCTCAGCACTTGCAGCACACAGGTCAGAGGCAGTGTGTGTTCAGTGAGATCGTTGTCATCTGGAGCATAAGGAACTCACTGAGCTCAGGAGGTTCTCTTCTCTGGCAGCCAGCTGAGAGCTGTGGATGAGGTCGAGTCTACGCTGCGGTGCATGGGCTGATGGAGCAGTGGTCATGTGCAGCACATGCAGCTCTGCAGCATAGCTTGGGGCTGGCTGGCCTCTTAACAAAGTGGTGTGGTCTGACACGTCTGTGGGTTCCAGCATCTCTTTTTATTAAGCTGGAGGCGAAGGCGCTTTGATCAGAAAGCAGGGTGCTTGCTGAAGACTTTTATTTTCTTCTTCTTTCTTTTTTAAGCTGACTGGCACTTTGCATGGGCTTAGCTCTTCCTAAATAACCGGTACATTGTTAAGGTTTGGGAGCTGCTCTGCTGCCTTTTTTTGAGCTCTGAGATGTATCTTCAATATATACGCACTATGATTTCGTGGGTTTTTTAATTGCTTATTTTTTTTTTCTTCTTTTTTTCCCCCCATTAATGGTAAATTATACCTTCTCTGAATTTATGATGACTTAAACTTTTTGCAGATGAGATCTGGTTTCCTGATATAATGGTGATTTTATTTTTCATGGATTTTGTATTATTTTTTTTTTGTTGTTGATAGCTTCTTCAGATGTGAACAGACAAGAAATATTCATGGAAGCACAGAGTGGTTTGGGTTGGAAGGAACCTTTAAGATCATCCAGTTCCAACTCTGTGCTATAGGCAGGGACACCTCCCACTGACCAAGTTGCTCACAGCCCCATCCAGCCTGGCCTTGAGTGCTTCCAGGGCCTCAGGGCATCCACAGCTTCTCTGTGCAACGTGTTCCAGTGTATCACCACCCTCAACTTCTATATGTGTGTGTATATTTTTATATATATGTAGGAGTTCTATATAGCCTTTACATCTCCCTTTAGAACACTAATGTTAGGAAGAACTCTCAAGTTATACATCATCAAAATAATTAGCTTAAATAACTTCTACCTGAAAAGATTTGATAGATAATCACCCTGGTGAGCTTGAATTTCCTCCTCATGCTGTAGCAGGTTTTTTTTTGGGGGGGAAGGAGGAGGAGGGAGGTGGAAGGGACAGCAACAGAAGAGTTGTTATGCAGAGTTAATAACTTTGAGGCATTCTGATCCCCAGATTCCCTTGGCTGGATGTGCAGGAATGAATTTCTCGTGATTCTTGTTTCTAGAACAGTGAGAAATGTTTCCATGCAGCAGGGTGTAATCAGGGTGCAAACAATTGTTTAAGGAAAGCATGTTTGATGCTGAAAGCATGTTGGAAAATGTTTCATGGAACATTTTGGCTAAAGGTACAACTTCAGAAAAGTGTGAGTCCTTCCTGGGAAATGAAGAACGAGCCTTTTTTGGATGCTCCAAAGCAAACAGCTCCTCTGTTTGGCTCAGGGTTCAGTTAAACTGTGGCCATGATAACATAAGCTTTATAGTACCAAACCCTGGTCTGATTATCTAAGTAGTCCAAATTCCACTGCTGTTCAGCACAGCACAGATGAATGGGAGGTAGGGAGCAATATAAGCCTGATGTGCAAGTGGAATTCAACAGAGGAGTTTAGAGTAGCGTTCTGAGCACTTGTTAATTAGCAGGATGTCCTCATTTTTGGATCTTTCCTGAGCAAATGTAAACCAATGGATCGTAAAATTGCTTTTGGTCATTAGACTCTGGAGACTTCTTCGAACTGTGGTCTGCAACTCATTCTAAAAATACTGTTTTGAGCTTGCTGAGGTCTGGAGAAATGAGGGGACACAGAACCCGTAGCAACCCTGTGCTTCCACAAAAAAGATACCACATCTTGGAGTAACTGCAGTGTGCTACTTGACAGCTGATCAAATCCTCAAGAGCAGTTCTGAGGTGACTGCTCAAGGGGGATGGTGCAAACATATCTGAGAAAAGATTTGACTTAAAAAAGGAAATGCAGAGAGTGGTTAAAATACTGTTATGTTACCTGACATCCAAGATGACTGCATTGAAGGTTCTTGATGTCTTTATTTGTCATAGGTGTGGGCAAGAGCAGCTTGCTGTTGCGTTTTGCAGATAACACGTTCTCAGGTGAGTATTTTGTTGGCTTGGATAAGTGAAATGGTCAAGGTTTGCTCCAGTCCTCCTGGCTGGCAAGGAGCTGTTGTGCTGCCTTTGCATGCTGGTAGCTGTACTGGGGATGCGTTGTTCTAGCTCTGCTTCTTTTGCTACAGGTCTATATCCTGTTTGATCTTCTCTTATCACTGAAAGTACCACAGTATTTAAATACTGCCATGGTTCCAGAAATAGCTTGGGTGTTTTAGCTTAATCAGTGCTCTGTGCAGACTTCCCATTGGCCCTTTGGGATTTAGGCTGATTGACTATTGTAGCTCAGTCACTCACATTTGTGACATAACTAATTTATTGGGAGGAAACTCTTAGAACAGACTGTTTTAAAATAAGCAATTGCATTAGCATTTGAGGAAAAGCTTTGTCTCGGAATTTTTCACAAAGAATGCCTGCATGGTTACTTAAGATATTTGGGTGCATACCCTTGGCTGCCAATAGAAGAATAATTTTTCAACGCTTAAATTTTTTAGGATGGCACGGAAGATGTGGTTTTATGGCTAGAAAAAAAAATCTATTGGCTGTGGATAAAAATATACAAATCAGCAGAACCTGAGAGGGC